GAGTGAGAGATGGTGAGTAGCTGAGTGAGATGGTGAGTGGCTGGGTGAGATGGTGAGTGGCTGAGTGAGATGGTGAGTGGCTGAGTGAGATGGTGAGTGGCTGGGTGAGATGGTGGCTGAGTGAGATGGTGAGTGGCTGGGTGAGATGGTGGCTGAGTGAGATGGTGAGTGGCTGGGTGAGATGGTGGCTGAGTGAGATGGTGGGTGGGTGGCTGAGTGAGATGGTGAGTGGCTGGGTGAGATGGTGAGTGAGATGGTGAGTGAGATGGTGAGTGAGATGGTGAGTGAGATGGTGAGTGGCTGAGTGAGATGGTGAGTGGCTGGGTGCTACTGCTGCTGCTCCACTGTAGCTGCACTTGCCCCAGGAAAGTGTTGCGGGCTACACGGGGAAGCTTTGTCTGTGCAGCCGACTGCACGCATTCTCCGCCACATGGACTGCTGGTCCCCTAGGGGAATCAACCATCCCCATCTGTCGGGGGGGGGGGAGGGGGTTGGGTGAGCATCGGTTCATCTCCTGAGCACGCCTCACTCACCCACTCATACACTCACTCATTCACTCACTCACCCACTCATTCATTCACTCACTCACTCACCCATTCACTCGCTCACTCACCCACTCACCCATTCACTCACTCACCCACTCACTCATTCACTCACCCACTCACTCACTCACTCACCCGTTCACTCATTCACTCACTCACTCACTCATTCACTCGCCCACCCACTCATTCACTCACTCACTCACCCATTCACTCACCCACTCGCTCGCTCACTCACTCACTCATTCACTCACTCACCCACCCACTCATACACTCACTCATTCACTCACTCATTCACTCACCCACTCATTCACTCACCCACTCACTCACTCACCCACTCACTCACTCACCCGTTCACTCACTCACTCACCCGTTCACTCATTTACTCACTCACTCACTCATTCACTCGCCCACCCACTCATTCACTCACTCACCCACTCATTCACTCACTCACTCGCTCACTCGCTCACCCATTCACTCATTCACTCGCTCACCCACTCACTCACTCACTCACCCACTCACTCACTCACTCACCCACTCACTCACTCACTCATTCACTCACTCACCCACCCACCCATTCACTCACTCATTCACTCACTCACTCGCCCATTCACCCACTCTCTCACCCACTCACCCACTCACCCACTCACTCACTCGCCCATTCACCCACTCTCTCACCCACTCACTCACTCGCCCGCCCATTCACTCACCCACTCAGCCACTCACCCACCCATTCACTCACTCACTCACCCACTCACCCACCCACCCACCCATTCACTCACTCACCCACTCACTCATTCACTCACCCGCTCACTCACCCACTCACTCACCCACCCACCCATTCACTCACTCACTCACTCACCCACTCACCCACCCACCCATTCACTCACTCACCCACTCACTCATTCACTCACCCACTCACTCACCCACCCACCCATTCACTCACTCACTCATTCACCCACTCACCCACCCATTCACCCACTCATTCACTCACTCACCCACCCACTCACTCACCCACTCGCCCGCCCACTCGCTCGCCCTCCCCTCCCTCCCCTCTCTGTCTGCCCTGGGGCATGGCTCCCCTAGGGGTGAGTGGTCACAACTGCTGCTGCTGCTGCTGATTAAACATTTAGACGTGGAGATGATGCACCCACTCACTCGCCCACCCATCCACCCGCTCGCCCACTCACTCACTCGCCCGCTCACCCACTCACGGACCCGCTCGCTCACTCGCCCACTCGCTCACCCGCTTGCCCACTCACTTGCCCGCTCACTCGCCCACTCACTCACTCGCTCGCTCGCTCACCCACTCACCCGCTCACTTACTCGCCCGCTCACCCACTCACGGACCCGCTCGCTCACTCGCCCACTCACTCACTCACCCGCTCACCCACTCACTCGCTTGCCCACTCACTTGCCCGCTCACTCGCCCACTCGCTCACTCACTCGCCTGCTCACTCACTCGCTCACCCACCCGCTCACTCGCCTGCTCGCCCACCCACTCGCTCACTTGCCCGCTCACTTGCCCGCTCACTCGCCTTCCCTCCCCCCCCCTGTCTGTCTGCCCTGGGGTATGGCTCCCCTAGGGGTTCTTTGGCCACAACTGCTGCTGATTAAACATTTAGACGTGGAGATGATCCACCCACTAATCCAGTCGCCCATCCACCCACTCACCCACCCACTAATCCACTCGCCCACAAACCCACCAATCCACCCACCCACCCACCACCACCAACCAATCCACTCACCACCTAGTCATCCTGAGTAGGTGACTCCGTGTGTCTCTCTGTAGCTACGCCCAGCTGAGTCAGGTGACTCCGTGTGTCTCTCTGTAGCTACGCCCAGCTGAGTAGGGGACTCCGTGTGTCTCTCTGTAGCTACGCCCAGCTGAGTAGGTGACTCTGTGTGTCTCTCTGTAGCTACGCCCCGCTGAGTAGGTGACTCCGTGTGTCTCTCTGTAGCTACTCCCAGCTGAGTAGGTGACTCCGTGTGTCTCTCTGTAGCTACGCCCAGCTGAGTAGGGGACTCCGTGTGTCTCTCTGTAGCTACGCCCAGCTGAGTAGGTGACTCCGTGTGTCTCTCTGTAGCTACGCCCAGCTGAGTAAGTGACTCCGTGTGTCTCTCTGTAGCTACGCCCAGCTGAGTAGGTGACTCCGTGTGTCTCTCTGTAGCTACGCCCAGCTGAGTAGGTGACTCCGTGTGTCTCTCTGTAGCTACGTTGGGGACTCCGTGTGTCTCTCTGTAGCTGCGCCCAGCTGAGTCAGGTGACTCCGTATGTCTCTCTGTAGCTACGCCCAGCTGAATCAGGTGACTCCGTGTGTCTCTCTGTAGCTACGCCCAGCTGAGTAGGTGACTCCGTGTGTCTCTCTGTAGCTACGCCCAGCTGAGTAGGTGACTCCGTGTGTCTCTCTGTAGCTACGCCCAGCTGAGTCAGGTGACTCCGTGTGTCTCTCTGTAGCTACGCCCAGCTGAGTAGGGGACTCCGTGTGTCTCTCTGTAGCTACGCCCAGCTGAGTAGGTGACTCTGTGTGTCTCTCTGTAGCTACGCCCCGCTGAGTAGGTGACTCCGTGTGTCTCTCTGTAGCTACGCCCCGCTGAGTAGGTGACTCCGTGTGTCTCTCTGTAGCTACTCCCAGCTGAGTAGGTGACTCCGTGTGTCTCTCTGTAGCTACGCCCAGCTGAGTAGGGGACTCCGTGTGTCTCTCTGTAGCTACGCCCAGCTGAGTAGGTGACTCCGTGTGTCTCTGTGTGTCTCTGTGGGTCTCTGTAGCTACGTTGGGGACTCCGTGTGTGTCTCCGTGTGTCTCTGTGTGACTCCGCGTGTCTCCGTGTGTCTCTCTCTGCGTGTCTCCGTGCGTAGCTATGCGCAGCTGAGCGGCGACTCTGTGTGTCTCTGTGGGTCTCTGTGGGTCTCTGTGTCTGTCTGTGTCTCCACGTGCCTCTTTTGTGTGTCTGTGTGTCTCTGTCTCTGTAGTTACGTTGGGGACTCCGTGTGTGTCTCTGTGTGTCTCTGTGTGACTCCGCGTGTCTCTCTCTGCGTGTCTCCGTGTCTGTGTCTCCGCGTGTCTCCGTGCGTAGCTACGCGCAGCTGAGCGGCGACTCTGTGTGTCTCTGTGGGTCTCTCTGTCTCCGCGTGTCTCCGTGTGTGTCTCCGTGTCTCTGTGTCTGTGTCTCCGCGTGACTCCGTGTGTCTCCGTCTGTGTCTCCGTGTGTCTCCGCGTGTCTGTGTCTCCGTGTGTCTCCGCGTGACTCCGTGTGTCTCCGCGTGACTCCGTGTGACTCTGTGTCTCCGTGTGACTCTGTGTGTCTCTGTCTCCGTGTGACTCTGTCTCCGTGTCTCCGCATGTCTCTATGTCTCCGTGTGACTCTGTGTGTCTCCGTGTCTCTGCGTCTCTCCGTGTCTCCGCGCGTAGCTACGCGCAGCTGAGCGGCGACTCTGTGTGTCTCTGTGACTCCGTGTGTCTCCGTGTGTGTCTCCGTGTGTGTCTCCGTGTGTCTGTGTCTCCGTGTGTCTCCGCGTGACTCCGCGTGTCTCTGTCTCCGTGTGTGTCTCCGTGTGTGTCTCCGTGTGTCTCCGTGTGTCTCCGCGTGACTCCGCGTGTCTCCGTGTGTGTCTCCGTGTCTCCGTGTGTCTCCGCGTGACTCTGTGTGTCTCCGTGTCTCCGTGTGACTCCGTGTGACTCCGTGTCTCTGTGTGTCTCCGTGTGTCTCTGTGTGTCTCTGTCTCCGCGTGTCTCCGCGCGTAGCTACGCGCAGCTGAGCGGCGACTCTGTGTCTTTGTGTGTCTCTGTGGGTCTCCGTGTGTGTCTCTGTGGGTCTGTGTCTCTGTGGGTCTCTGTGGGTCTCTGTGGGTCTCTGTGTCTCTCTGTGTCTCCACGTGCCTCTTTTGTGTGTCTGTGTGTCTCTGTCTCTGTAGCTACGTTGGTGACTCCGCGTGTCTCTCTCTGCGTGTCTCCGCGTGTCTCCGCGCGTAGCTACGCGCAGCTGAGCGGCGACTCTGTGTGTCTCTGTGTCTGTGTGTCTCCGTGTCTCTGTGTGTCTCTGTGTGACTCCGTGTGTCTCTGTGTGACTCCGCGTGTCTCTGTGTGACTCCGCGTGTCTCTGTGTGACTCCGTGTGTCTCCGTGTGTGTCTCCGTGTCTCTGTGTCTCCGCGTGTCTGTGTCTCCGTGTGACTCCGCGTGTCTCCGTGCGTAGCTACGTTGGGGACTCCGTGTGACTCCGTGTGTCTCTGTGTCTCCGCGTGTCTCCGTGTGTCTCCGCGCGTAGCTACGCGCAGCTGAGCGGCGACTCTGTGTGTCTCTGTGTGACTCTGTGTGACTCTCTCTGCGTGTCTCTGTGTCTCCGCGTGTCTCTCCGTGTGTCTCCGCGCGTAGCTACGCGCAGCTGAGCGGCGACTCTGTGTGTCTCTGTGTGACTCTGTGTGTCTCCGTGTCTCTCTCTCCCCGTGTCTCCGCGCGTAGCTACGCGCAGCTGAGCGGCGACTCTGTGTCTGTGTCGTGCGACGTCCCTTGGGGCGTGGGCTCGCTGCTGTCGCTGGCGTTCGGCGAGGATGGCCGCTACGAGCTGCGTGCCAGCGACGGGCGCTCGCTGCGGGCGGACGGGGCCCTGGGCCCCCCTCGCGGGGACACGGCCTCCTTCACGCTCGAGGTCCACGCGGGGAGCGTGGCCTTCAAGGTGAGAGACTCACTGTGAGAGACACTCACTGTGAGAGACACGGCCTCCTTCACGCTCGAGGTCCACGCGGGGAGCGTGGCCTTCAAGGTGAGAGACTCACTGTGAGAGACACTCACTGTGAGAGACACTCACTGTGTGAGACCTCACTGTGTGAGACCCTCACTGTGTGAGACACGGCCTCCTTCACGCTCGAGGTCCACGCGGGGAGCGTGGCCTTCAAGGTCAGAGACTCACTGTGAGAGACACTCACTGTGTGAGACCTCACTGTGTGAGACCTCACTGTGTGAGACACTCACTGTGTGAGACACGGCCTCCTTCACGCTCGAGGTCCACGCGGGGAGCGTGGCCTTCAAGGTCAGAGACTCACTGTGTGAGACCTCACTGTGTGAGACCTCACTGTGTGAGACACTCACTGTGTGAGACACGGCCTCCTTCACGCTCGAGGTCCACGCGGGGAGCGTGGCCTTCAAGGTCAGAGACTCACTGTGAGAGACACTCACTGTGTGAGACACGGCCTCCTTCACGCTCGAGGTCCACGCGGGGAGCGTGGCCTTCAAGGTGAGAGACCCTCGCTGTGAGAGACACTCACTGTGTGAGACACGGCCTCCTTCACGCTCGAGGTCCACGCGGGGAGCGTGGCCTTCAAGGTGAGACTCTCACTGTGTGAGACTCTCACTGTGTGAGACTCTCACTGTGTGAGACTCTCACTGTGTGAGACTCTCACTGTGTGAGACTCTCACTGTGTGAGACACTCACTGTGAGAGACACGGCCTCCTTCACGCTCGAGGTCCACGCGGGGAGCGTGGCCTTCAAGGTGAGACTCTCACTGTGTGAGACCTCACTGTGTGAGACACTCACTGTGTGAGACCTCACTGTGTGAGACCTCACTGTGTGAGACCTCACTGTGTGAGACACGGCCTCCTTCACGCTCGAGGTCCACGCGGGGAGCGTGGCCTTCAAGGTGAGACTCTCACTGTGTGAGACACGCGGGGAGCGTGGCCTTCAAGGTGAGACTCACTGTGTGAGACCTCACTGTGTGAGACACGTGGGGAGCGTGGCCTTCAAGGTGAGACTCACTGTGTGAGACACGTGGGGAGCGTGGCCTTCAAGGTGAGACTCACTGTGTGAGACCTCACTGTGTGAGACACGTGGGGAGCGTGGCCTTCAAGGTGAGAGACCCTCACTGTGTGAGACACGTGGGGAGCGTGGCCTTCAAGGTGAGACTCTCACTGTGTGAGACACGTGGGGAGCGTGGCCTTCAAGGTGAGACTCACTGTGTGAGACCTCACTGTGTGAGACACGTGGGGAGCGTGGCCTTCAAGGTGAGACTCACTGTGTGAGACCTCACTGTGTGAGACACGCGGGGAGCGTGGCCTTCAAGGTGAGACCCTCACTGTGAGAGACACTCACTGTGTGAGACACGTGGGGAGCGTGGCCTTCAAGGTGAGAGACCCTCAGGGCCCCCCACCACTGTGTGAGACCCTCACTGTGTGAGACCCTCACTGTGTGAGACCCTCACTGTGTGAGACCCTCACTGTGTGAGACCCTCACTGTGTGAGACACGGCCTCCTTCACGCTCGAGGTCCACGCGGGGAGCGTGGCCTTCAAGGTGAGAGACCCTCACTGTGAGAGACACTCACTGTGAGAGACCTCACTGTGAGAGACCTCACTGTGTGAGACCTCACTGTGTGAGACCTCACTGTGTGAGACCTCACTGTGTGAGACCCTCACTGTGTGAGACCTCACTGTGTGAGACCTCACTGTGTGAGACCTCACTGTGAGACACCTCACTGTGAGAGTCCTCACTGTGAGAGACCTCACTGTGTGAGACCTCACTGTGTGAGACCTCACTGTGTGAGACCTCACTGTGAGAGACCTCACTGTGAGAGACCTCACTGTGAGAGACACTCACTGTGTGAGACACGTGGGGAGCGTGGCCTTCAAGGTCAGAGACTCACTGTGAGAGACGCTCACTGTGTGAGACCTCACTGTGTGAGACCTCACTGTGTGAGACCTCACTGTGTGAGACCTCACTGTGAGACCTCACTGTGTGAGACCTCACTGTGTGAGACCTCACTGTGTGAGACCTCACTGTGAGAGACCTCACTGTGAGAGACCTCACTGTGTGAGACTCTCACTGTGTGAGACCTCACTGTGTGAGACCTCACTGTGAGAGACCTCACTGTGTGAGACACGCGGGGAGCGTGGCCTTCAAGGTGAGACTCTCACTGTGTGAGACCTCACTGTGTGAGACCTCACTGTGTGAGACTCTCACTGTGTGAGACCCTCACTGTGTGAGACCTCACTGTGTGAGACCTCACTGTGAGAGACCTCACTGTGTGAGACTCTCACTGTGTGAGACCCTCACTGTGTGAGACCCTCACTGTGTGAGACCTCACTGTGAGAGACCTCACTGTGAGAGACCTCACTGTGAGAAGACTCACTGTGTGAGACCTCACTGTGTGAGACCTCACTGGTGTGAGAACCTCACTGTGTGAGACCTCACTGTGTGAGACCCTCACTGTGTGAGACCTCACTGTGAGAGACCTCACTGTGTGAGACCTCACTGTGTGAGACCTCACTGTGAGAGACCTCACTGTGAGAGACCTCACTGTGAGAGACCTCACTGTGTGAGACCTCACTGTGAGAGACCCTCACTGTGTGAGACCCTCACTGTGAGAGACCTCACTGTGAGAGACCTCACTGTGAGAGACCTCACTGTGTGAGACCTCACATGTGTGAGACCCTCACTGTGTGAGACCCTCACTGTGAGGACCTCACTGTGTGCGACCTCACTGTGAGAGACCCTCACTGTGAGAGACCTCACTGTGTGAGACTTCACTGTGTGAGACATCACTGTGTGAGACCTCACTGTGAGAGACCTCACTGTGAGAGACCCTCACTGTGTGAGACCTCACTGTGTGAGACCTCACTGTGTGAGACCTCACTGTGTGAGACCTCACTGTGTGAGACCTCACTGTGAGAGACCTCACTGTGTGAGACCCTCACTGTGTGAGACCTCACTGTGTGAGACCTCACTGTGTGAGACCTCACTGTGAGAGACCTCACTGTGAGAGACCTCACTGTGTGAGACTCTCACTGTGAGAGACCTCACTGTGAGAGACCTCACTGTGAGAGACCTCACTGTGAGAGACCTCACTGTGTGAGACCTCACTGTGAGAGACCTCACTGTGAGAGACCTCACTGTGAGAGACCTCACTGTGAGAGGACCTCACTGTGAGAGACCTCACTGTGTGAGACCTCACTGTGTGAGACCTCACTGTGTGAGACCTCACTGTGTGAGACCTCACTGTGTGAGACCTCACTGTGTGAGACCTCACTGTGAGAGACCTCACTGTGAGAGACCTCACTGTGAGAGACCTCACTGTGTGAGACCTCACTGTGTGAGACCTCACTGTGTGAGACCTCACTGTGTGAGACTCTCACTGTGTGAGACCTCACTGTGTGAGACCTCACTGTGTGAGACTCTCACTGTGAGAGACCTCACTGTGAGAGACCTCACTGTGAGAGACCCTCACTGTGAGAGACCTCACTGTGTGAGACCTCACTGTGTGAGACCTCACTGTGTGAGACCCTCACTGTGTGAGACCTCACTGTGAGAGACCCTCACTGTTTGAGACCTCACTGTGTGAGACCTCACTGTGTGAGACCTCACTGTGTGAGACCTCACTGTGAGAGGCCTCACTGTGAGAGACCTCACTGTGTGAGACCTCACTGTGAGACCTCACTGTGTGAGACCTCACTGTGTGAGACCTCACTGTGTGAGACCTCACTGTGAGAGACCTCACTGTGAGAGACCTCACTGTGAGAGACCTCACTGTGTGAGACCCTCACCGTGTGAGACCCTCACTGTGTGAGACCTCACTGTGTGAGACCTCATTGTTAGAGACCCTCACTGTGAGAGACCTCACTGTGTGAGACCTCACTGTGAGAGACCTCACTGTGAGAGACCTCACTGTGAGAGACCTCACTGTGAGAGACCTCACTGTGAGAGACCTCACTGTGTGAGACCTCACTGTGTGAGACCTCACTGTGTGAGACCCTCACTGTGAGAGACCTCACTGTGTGAGACACGTGGGGAGCGTGGCCTTCAAGGTCAGAGACCTCACTGTGTGAGACCCTCACTGTGAGAGACCTCACTGTGTGAGACCCTCACCGTGTGAGACCTCACTGTGTGAGACCTCACTGTGTGAGACCCTCACTGTGAGAGACCTCACTGTGTGAGACCCTCACCGTGTGAGACCTCACTGTGAGAGACCTCACTGTGTGAGACCTCACTGTGAGAGACCCTCACTGTGTGAGACCCTCACTGTGAGAGACCTCACTGTGAGAGACCTCACTGTGAGAGACCTCACTGTGTGAGACCTCACTGTGTGAGACCCTCACTGTGTGAGACCCTCACTGTGAGACCTCACTGTGTGAGACCTCACTGTGAGAGACCCTCACTGTGAGAGACCCTCACTGTTGTGAGACTCTCACTGTGTGAGACTCACTGTGTGAGACCTCACTGTGAGAGACCTCACTGTGAGAGACCCTCACTGTGTGAGACCTCACTGTGTGAGACCTCACTGTGATGAGACCTCACTGTGTGAGACCCTCACTGTGTGAGACCTCACTGTGAGAGACCTCACTGTGTGAGACCTCACTGTGAGAGACCTCACTGTGAGAGACCTCACTGTGTGAGACCCTCACTGTGAGAGACCTCACTGTGAGAGACCTCACTGTGTAGAGACCTCACTGTGAGAGAACCTCACTGTGTGAGACCTCACTGTGAGAGACCTCACTGTGTGAGACCTCACTGTGTGAGGGACTCACTGTGAGAGACCTCACTGTGAGAGACCTCACTGTGAGAGACCTCACTGTGTGAGACCCTCACTGTGTGAGACCTCACTGTGTGAGACCTCACTGTTGTGAGACTCACTGTGTGAGACCCTCACTGGTGTGAGACCTCACTGTGTGAGACCTCACTGTGTGAGACC